CCCCAAAACCCCAAAACCCCAAAACCCCTTTCAGTACCTAGGAGTTGAATATTATTTTTAATTATGGAGACAAAGATCAATCTTAGCTTTCCTCTCTACACGGTTATTCTTCCCTACTACAGTGGATACTGGGTATTAGTTATCTTATTTCTAGGCAGAATGGGAGTTCCTGTTAAAGAATTTGAATCATAAAAGCTACCAAATCTGGAAAAGAGACCAACAAGCACTTGAAAATTTACTGAAGCTCACTAAGTTTCATGAAGTTCATATCTCGAGAAAAGGATTTGATGAAAAATTTGCTAGTTCGTTAGCCTCTTTAAAGCTATTTAGGATACATAGATCGGGCCATTGATGATAAACGCAAAAATACAAAATTTGAAGTGATTCTTGACTCAATCTCTTCATATAAGTAAGTCTGACAATTTGGCAATTCTGAATAAATAATATAGCACGTTTGTTGATTATTTTAAGGTAACTGTCTTTATAACAGTTAGTCAACTCAGAATCCAGAATATATCAAGAGAATCTACTTGATCAATGCCATGGATATGACTATCAACGAATATCTTGTCTCAGTAAATTTTGAACTTAATTGCAGATTTGTCAGATTCTTGAGTCTAACAATCTTCCTTTGAGCGTAATCTCAATGAAGATTCCAAAGGACATTGAATACAGAAAAGGATCATCAAGATTAGGAGTATACAGCTATAACTAGTAATTCCTTTACTCTGGACTAATAAGCAAACTTGGTTCTTACCAGGCTTTAATATTTCACATCTCTGTGCCTTATAAGTTTCTTCTTGATCTGAATTTTAAGTAATCTTGCTAAACTTTGTCGGAGGATTTCCTAAACTGATTCAAGAATTAATCAAGATTATAGCTACCAGGCTCCACAAGCTCAAGAAGTTGAAGATATCATACCTTACATTGGTAAGACTGATGCTTAATACTTCAGATGTTGTAAAGAAATAATAATGTAGCATCAATCACAAAGAACTGCAGGATTCTTCTCTTTCAAATGAGCATGCTACCTTACCTCTTTGAAGGATCAACCTTGCTAGTCGCAGATTCATTGTGCATGAAAGCTTATGATATAGAGAACATGATCAAACAAAAGGAGGATTTCCCAGAAACTCTTAAAACTAACCTTAGAAGATTCATACTTTATAATAATGAAGAGAAGTTCTTTTATGATGGATCACCAGAAGAATCTATTATCCCTTACGGTAGTTTTAAAAAGTTTTGGTTAGCAACTCAATATGCAGAGGAAAATTTTCCAAATTTAAAGGTCGTGGAATTCTCATTATTGGGATTTTCACCAGCTAAACTAAATCAGATCTTGAATTCTGAGTGAAAAGTACAATTAAATGTGGATTTGTAAGATATCTTATTAAATCTTAGATATGATACTGACCATACATCCAGAAATAAAATCAGCATGAATAAAGGCTACTTCTTCTATAAATCAAAAAGTATGGGTTAAAGCACTTCCTCATTTCAGAATAAAATTGGGTCTAAACTATCCCCATTGCTAAAATTGTTTTTATTCCTTCAAAATCCCATTCGAATTATCTTCCCTAGCAAGGAACTAAATATCTTAGCTGGGATTATGATTGTAAATACTTTTATTTAATTCCTAATATAGAGCAGTCAACAATCACAGCGGTAGCTTACGACTCCTTAGAAGTGGAATACGAGGAAGGATATCTGTACTACAAAAATATTAACTCTATTGTATTCGTACATTCCGAAGCTGCTGGGCCTACCAAAGTAAGACCAATACGAGATTTGTGCTTTAAATTTTAGAACTTTTACACTTCTGACAAAAGTGTATATTTGTTATTTATGCTCATACATTGTTGAAACTCATTATGTAAAGACCAACAGAGATGCCATAGACTAGCTATTATACATTTCGTATCATTTGCTATTGAGGCGAGACTAATTTTAAAGTAGTTATTTAGCTTCATCTTTCAAATACTTAAGAAAGATTAGTTGATCTAATAATGTTTAAAATACTTCTCTAGCCAGCAGTTAATCCATTAAAAAGATTGTACATGAAGAATGCAAGAGTCATTTCAGGTAAATATTCTTTGTAAAATATAAGATATTACTACGATATCCTTCACATCTGAGCTGGATGCATTATATGATAATCTTACTCTCATGGAGGAAGACTTTGTATGTGGATTCATGTTGCTCACTCTTCAAGTTTTGGAGCTAAATGATGTTACATCATACTCAGTTCTACCAAAGCAATGTGTCCACTCAAAGATTAGGATTAAAATATCTGAAGATTATCACATTCTCAGCTGAGCAGAGTACTTACAGTACTTGGGTTCTACAGCTGTGTGATTGGAACTATACCAAGTTTCTGAAGAATCGAAAGAAGCAAAGTAAGATTTCTTGATAACTAGAGTAGGAATCATATTAATGATCCTGAAATTCAAAAGACCTTAAGATCCCTGAATGTTCTCACACTTAGTCTGACTAATTTTAAGGACCAAGAGAATCTCTCAAGATTATTTGATTTACTTGAAAACACGAGCAAGCAATGGTTTTCACTCCAAAATATCTTTACAAAATTCAGGTACAGAACAGGTAATTTAAAACTAATTAACTTTAAACAGGAAAATCTAAGTCAGTAAAGGCAAGCATTATAGAGGAGATCCCGGATATCCTTGTCAAGAACTCTGTAGAAATAGAAGCTGAGGAGGGCACTCATGAAGAGTAAATGGACTTACCTTCTTTAAAGAAGAAAAGCTCATTGGATTCATAAATATTCCATTCAATAAATTACCTCATTCTTGGGGTTTTGGGGTTTTGGGGTTTTGGGGTTTTGGGG